TGACAAGATGAATTTAAATCAAAGCTGGATGTGCAGAGCAGATTGTGAGCTAACGTGGCTCGAGGTCACTTTGGTTCTCTAAGAGGTGTTTTGATTGTTCACCCTTGGCACTGAGTCTCTGCCTGCAGCCTGTGATCTCCCCCTTCCGATTCTGAAAGATGAATACCGTGCTAGAAGGAAGGTGCCTATTGTTTAAGATTAAATATGGAGCCCTGGGCAATTTGTTGTGGGGAGTCAGAGTCATTCATTCAGCTTTTGGGAAGTGACTAGATGAGAATTTATTTAGGGTATATGATATTTTTGGCTTGGATCCGATTGTACTGCATCTTCTTAAGGAATGCAGAGTTGTGTTATGTATAAATTTCATGTGTCACTTTTATTTTTGATATTTACTGTAGTTTTTGTAGTTCATCTCCCTTAAAATCATGAGCATATTATTTGAATTTTGCAAGATTGTTAATATGGCCGAATAGTACTACATGAGGAAGAAATACAGTAACAGGCCTCATCATCATTTATTACTGGACATTTCTGTGTTTTAAAACTGTATCTGTTGCTGTATGAAAAATTTCTGTGCCTGGAATCCTTTCCTTTCTATTTATTTATTTATTTATTTATTTATGGTACCAGGGATCAAACTTGGGACCTTGCGCTTGCAAGGCAGGCGCTGGAACCACTGAGCTAAATCCCTTTCTCTTGAATACCTAAGCTATATTTCATTCATCGATTGTCGTGCATCTAACCATTCCAAATGTGGCAGCTTGGGCACGAACAGTGCTCTGTGCTCACACGGTGGTTGGCAGGCTGGTGCCGCGGTGTCTGGCCCTGGGCTGTGTCTGTGGGCCCGGCTCCAAGCGCTCTGGCTGCTCCAAAAGCGATGCCCCAAGGCATCAGGCAGAAGCTGCGTGGAGCTTGCGGAGCTGCTTTGCTTCCCTCTGCTCCCTTCCCAGGCAGGGTCTGTCCCGAGAGAAGGTGAGGCTGGGAGCTGGCTGGCTGGGGTATTCACCACAATTATGATCTACTCAACAGACCTCCCATTTTCACATGTTAAAAGTGTTTCCTGTTTTTGTTTTATAAGCAACACTGCAGTGAGCCTTCTTGTGCGTAGCTCACTTGTTCAGCATTTTGTTGGGTAAGTTTCTTCATGTACAGCAGCTGTGTCAGAAGGAAATAACACTTTGAAGGCTTTTGAGAAAGGCAAGTCACCTTCCTGGCAGCTGTAGGAAAGGATGAGCACTTGGCCTGCTCCTGGCTGTGTCTAAGATTTATCCATTTCCCTCCAGATGTCAGCCGACTCCCAACCACTTTCATCTCTGCCCTCGATACTGTTCTTCCTAACTGCATCTCTTTGGCTACTGCTGAGGACAGCCATATTTTAATTTTCTTGTTGGAAGTTAGAGTTCTTTCATAAGCTCTTTGCCTTTTCAGGTCACTTTGTTGTTTTATTGGAGTGTTCCTGTGCATTTTTTATTGATAAAAGTTATTTTTATATAAAGAAACTGATTCTTCACCACAGGTTGTAAATATTTTAGGTAATTTTTACAACATTATAGATTTGTTTTGACAGATATACAAGGTTGCTTCCTTCCTCCCTTATTTAAGTTTTTAACGTCTTCTATCCTTTCTCATATATCGCCTAGTGAATAGTCTCTCTTTTATGGTTTTTATTTTCTAAAGTCTTACAATACACCATTTTGTTCCCTGTTCCTATTATTTTGTAGTTTCCATAACAGTTTTCATAAATGTAATTTGTTCTAGTATCTTTTGTTGCAAAGATTATCCTTTTTCCAGAATTGCCTCTGCATCTTCGTCATGAATTACCTGATTGTATTTCCAAGCTCTTTATTTTTTCCCTAGGTCTACATGTCTATCTTTTATCAACACCACATTGTTCTGATTGCTAGAATGCAAGAATATCATTGTTTATCTATTCTAGTTCCTTGGCTTTCTATGTTAAAATTATCCTGCGTGTATCTACAAAAACCTGCTAGGAGTTTGATGAAATTCCGTTAATTCTCTAGGTCACTTTGGGGAAAGCTGACATCTTAACTAACTTGAGTCTTCTATAGGAAATGAGTATCTTCTATTTATAACTGTAAAACTTTTTCTTCCATCACTATTTTGTATTTACCTTTATTCTATTTTCATTGTAAAGATTCTATATAGACTTGTTAGGTTTAAGCTAGCATTTCTTTGTTGCTATTGTTATTGGAGCTATTGAAACATAGTACTTTAAAACATTGTTTCCCAGTTATTCATTACTGGGGTATAGAAATATGCCACATGTTGCTAAACTTCCTTATTACTTTAGGAACATTTTTGTACATTGTTTGGGATTTCTATGCAGCTGGTCATGTCATCTGCAAGTATTTCTTCTGTTCCAATTCTGACATTTTTCATTATTCATTTTCCCCTAATCTCACTGGCTATGGTTTTCAGTATAATGTTGGATTATGGGTGGAGAGAGTGAGATATCGCCAGTAAGTGTGACATTAGCTTCAGGCTCTCTGGACGCCCACTTTCCGGCTGAGGAAATTCTCTGTCTCTACTTTGCTGAGTGTATTTGTCATGAAGAGATGCTGAATTTTGTCAGATGCTTTTTATAATTATTGTGATTGATTTTCATGTGAATTTTCTTGTTTAATCAGTGTAATCTGTGAGTTATGTTGATCGATTTTTCAAATGTTGAATCGGTCTTAGATCTCTGGGATATAGGCGCTAGGCTATTCCGTGTTACTCTTTTAACTTACTGTTGGGTTCAACGTGTAGTTGATTTTTTTTTTTTTGGTACCGGGGATCGAACTTGGAACCTTGCGCTTGCGAGGCTGCGGGTTCAGCTTCCTTTTCAGTGAGGGGTTTCACGTCTGTGCCCTGCGTGACACCGTGTGCTCCCTTTCCCTGTGTAGCTGAGGGACTCGGCCCTCCTGGTATAGATGCTGTTTCCTTCTGGTGAGCAGTGATACTGCAGCCCACCTCTGCTTTGGGGTGCTTGTTTGTTTTCAGGTTGGACTGGGTGGGGACTTAGTCTGTTTGACTGCTAGAACAAAGCCCCTTAGACTGGTTATTTTAAAACAACCTGAGTCCGTTGCTCCCTGTTCTGGAGGTGGGGAAGTGCAGGACGAAGGGGCCAGCAGATCTGGTGCATGGTGAGAGCCCTTCCTTATGCTCGGTGCCTACTGTGTCTGCAGCCTGACGGTGCAGCCCTCTGGCATCCCAGTTTAGATTCCGCTCCTCACCCCACATGCAGTTTGGTTTCCACAGTTTGTTTCCAGGCTCCGTGAGACCACTGGTTCATACACGGGGCTGTGCAGAATCTCCCTCCCTGGCAACACAGCACTCGATGTTAGAGGACCATGGTTTGCCCAGTAAATACATGAATAGATAAAATTTCAACAGTGAGTGTTGTGAGTCAGTCCTGGAAGTTCAGGGCTCCTGCTCGGTGCTCCCCTCCAGGAAGGACCCTCGGGGATTTGTATCCCGCATCCCCCCAGCAGCAGGGTTCGGGTTACTTACATTAATGAATGTGCTCACAGTGTGTGTGTGTGTGTGTGTGTGTGTGTGTGTGTGTGTGTGTGTGTTCCCTATCTGCACGCTGACAAAGCCCCAGAAACGATTCACAGTCTGTCAAAAGGGAAAGAAGTACTTTTATAGACAGCTAAGTTAGATGGAAATTAATACCCAGCCAGAGAGGGATTGAGCCCTTAAGGAGCTCAGCGCAAAAGGATGATGTCAGAGTGGTGGCTGGAGGTGCATCTGAAGAGAGTCCGGCCTCGGCCTCAGGGTGGAGAAGCAGTAGCAAGGCCCGGGCACCTTCCTTGAACAGAAGCCTGAGCTGATACTGTGTTAGCCTCTAGGTCCAGTGGGCCCAGATAGGCGTCAGACACACAGGTGGTGACCGGGACACCGGCCCCACACTCTCCTCTCTTCCTGAAGTGCCTTTGTTCTTCCCATGTACCCCCTATTTTTTTTTTTTTTGGTACCAGGGCTCAAACTCAGGACCTTGCGCTTGCGAGGGAGGTGCCGGAACCACTGAGCTAAATCCCCGGCCCTATACCCCCTATTTTTGGAGACAGGATCTCACTCTAGTTCTGGCTGGCCTCGAAATCACTATGTAGCCCAGGCTGGCCTCCAACTTGCAGCAATCCTCCTGCCTCAGCCTTCCAGATGCTGGATTTTCAGGCGTGGGCCACCATGCCTGGCCCACGTACCCTTGCTATGTAACTCGTTTCCCTATCGGATCAAGATTAGCTAAGCACCATACTTGTAATCCTATAGGTTGATGGTTGTTTGGCCCACGCTGTACCCACGTTGTGACCGCTGTATAAATTACCCCTGACAGTGGGCCTCCATGGCCACCCACTCAGGACCCTGCTGGGAATCCAGGAGCTGTTCTTCTCCTCCTTATTGCCAAGAAAACTCTCCTGACCTCCACCTTTGGTTCACAACTTCATTCCTTGATGTTGCGGAACCTCGTACTGAGCACATCTGTCGTCTAGCAGGGTGGGGTTGTATTTCTCCTGTGTCAGCGCGACTGGTCAGGCGCTCCTGTCCGCTCGTGTGTAGCCTCTGATGGAAGCCTCTGGCAAGTGTGGGGTTTCTGGGTCTGGCGCTGGGTGTGGTTGCTGTCTTGTGCTTGCCCAGGCCTCTCTGCTGGGCAGCCTGGCTCTGGGCTCAGATCTGCCGGCAGCTTCTGGTCATGTACATGGGCTTGGTTGTCCGTCCCCCCGGATTTGAAGCCAACTCTGAGTTTGGGCAAGTTGCTCTCCTTTTCAAGATTGATTTTTCTCTTTAAAATAGAAATACAACTGGCAACTTTTTGTGATTGGTTTTCAGGTTTCAGTAGATAATACATATGAAAAACTTAGTATGGAATCTGGAATAATTTAGCAATTTTATTTCCTGCCTTCTATTTGATTATTATAATCTATTTTCTCTTGAGAATTGAGAGTTCCCTATATTTTTCATGATTTCTCAAAAACTGTTTCAAATATCGTCCACAGGATTTTGTCTCTACGATTATCCGTTTACTCGACAGCCCGTCGACGTGCATCCGAGCGAAAGCCTTCCTGGTGCTTTGCTATGTCCTCCTTCACAGCCGCGAGATGCTGCTGCTCAGCTGCCAGGCACGGTAGGGTGTTCCCTCCTGGGCTCGTCTGCTCCCCAGCACCGTGCCGTCTGTGGGTGGCTTTGTGTTCCTTTCATAGGGCATTTCTTGGCCTTTAGGTGTCTGGTATTTTTTTTCTTGATTGTTTCAAGGGTTTCATGTTTCTCCTGTAATCTCAGCCTGGAGGCACAGAGAACCCAGGGAGACTTTGGAAGGGAAGCAGGTGGTGGTGCCTGGTGGGTGTGGATCTGAGCAAGCCCCGCCCCGGGCGGGGCACTGGCGTGGTTCCCGGTGCATGGCAATGGTCTCTGGCTGGGTTCGGGGTGCTGCTTTGCTTTTGTAAAGCTCTGGATGAGTCGCGGAAGGCCCCACGGAACAGCCTCGTGAGGCCAGAGGAGGCGGAGGGTGGGATGGGGTAGGGACGGGGCCTGGGAGGAGTGCGTCCCTCTCTCTCTCCTCCGTCCCCCCGCCTCAAAGCAACAGTGGTTGCCAGTGCCCTGCAAGTTCCTTTCTGAACCGTTTGGCCCTGCTCTGCTGAAGCCCAGGAGGGCCCTGAAAGTCCAGTTTGAGGTCTGCGTCTTACCTGGACTTTGACCTGTGCTGAACAAGCAGTCGTGGAGGGGCGCCTGGAGCGCCATAGCCCGGCGGTCACCGGTGTTCTCCAGGAGCACCTGCTGTGGTGTAGCGAGCGATAGCCACGCCTCCTCCGCCCGCCGCTTCACCCTGTCTTCTGCAGTCTCTTCCTTGCCACCCTTCAACACACTAAGCCTGTTGTGCTGGGCCTTCTGGCTCGCCGGCCTTCCGTGTCTCTGATGAGTGAGTGGAAACTTCAGCATGTCTGGCCCATTCCTCCCTGCTCCTCCTCTGCAGCAGTGCAGCAAGCAGGGTGAGCTGGAGAGGGGCCGGGAGCGTGGCTCCGTTGTCCTGCACGCAGCGGCAGAGGAGACGCTTCTGTCCTGGGGTCCTGTCCTTTCCCGCCTGCTTCACACCTGTCCCGATCAGTCACTGGGGGGTGAAGGAGCCAGCAGGCCCGGTTGGTCCCGGTCCTTTGAGGATGACATGTCCTTGAAGGAGAAAGAACAGGAAGACAGGGCAGCTCTCAGTGAGGCAGAGCTGATGAAAGTGACGGGAAAGAATTCTAGCAATGAAGAAAGGCCCTGTGGAGGGCGGGCGGCTTTTTGGGAAGTCAGCAGAAGAACTGAAGGAGGACGGCCTCCCGGGGGGTGGCTCTGGCAGTGGAAGGCCAAGGGAAGGAAAGCATCAGGCCACATGGACCCCGCGACAGGTGCAGAGAGCGCACGTGGAAACAATCAGGACGGAGGGTAGGTCCTCGGGACCCCGCATGCCAAGGGCTGAGCTCCAGTAGGGGAGACCAGGTGGCGCAGGGGTTTTGATCAGGGAGGCGGTGGCTGTCACCTTCTGCCACATGTGCGGGGGGGGGGGGGGGAGGAGCTAAGGCAGGGGAGGCCGACCGAGGCAGGCGAGCACACAGGCGAGCTGTGCTCCGGCGGGCTGTGCTTGTCCTAGGGAATCTCTTACTGCCTGCAAGGCAGAGGCCAGTGTAAGCTGTGGCTCTGCCTGGAGGATTGTGGGGCCGGCCCTGGGAAGACTCGGGGGGACTGCGCAGTCCCCACTGCAGCAGGAAGCAGGAAACAGAAAGCTGTTCTGTGCGGTGTGGCGGGAGGCTGCACACCGGTCCAGGTGCTGCTGGGTCGGGGGCGGGAGTGCTGGGGACCAGAGCCCCGAGGGGAGGGGAGTCCACTTGTCCTGCAGGCCCAAGGAGAAGGAGCCTCAGCCCCTCCTCCTTGGCCGGCAGGGCTGGCAGGGCCCTCACCCACACTGCCAGGGCTTGAAGCGTCTTCCTAGGGAAGCCCACAGGGCTGACATGTGGGTGTCCTCTCCTGAGCCACTGACACCTGGGCCCTGCAGGACAGGCCCTGTGTCCTGAGCCCCCCTGTGCACCTCCCGGCCACACTCCAGTGTAGCATGTGGCAGTGGAAACAAACAGCCAGCACTCAGCAGCTTCTGTTCCCTGACATGGGGCATGGAAACCAAAGCTCAGCATGTAAGAGGGAGATGGCAGGGACAGGGACCAGAGCCAGGAACAGTCAGCTAATAGGGAAAGGAACGCAGGTGACCAGAAGCCTCTGAAATGCTAATCCAAGTGCACATTGAAAGCACAGTGAGATAGCCCTTCTCACCTACTGCACTGGCAGTGTGTGAAGATGCATCTCTTTTCGAGGCTGGGGAGACTGGCCTGCTCAGACTACGCTAATACTGCAGCTCCTGTGAAGAGAAGTGGCAGTTCAGGCTGAAATGGCTGGAACCAGAAGTGTTCTGGGTTTTGGAATGTTTGCAGTTATGCACCAGATGTTTGAGGGGCGGGACCCACGTCTAACATTAAATTTATGTCTCATGTGCTCCTTACACATGTAGATGGATGCAAATTTTGTGCATTGTTTTTAGTTGTGGCTGCATTTTGACTGTGGCCCCATCATGTGAGTCAGGATGGTTCCCCGTGCAGTTCCAGAGATTGGAGCATTACTGGCCTTGGACTTTTGTATTAAGGATGCTCACTGCTCTCTAGAGAAATGCACATGTATTTGCCTTTTGACCTGGGCACCTTCTCTCTAGGAGATGGGAAACCTGCAGTGGCATAGAGGGGAGGTGACAGCGCAGGACACTAGTTCTGGCCCCGGAGCCTGGCCGGAGAGCTCTGGACACCTCTGATAGTGTTCTGTTCCTGCTGTCCCAAGTCAGCACAGTGCTTTAAGACGGTGCCCACTGCTGGTGTGACAGTCCCTGAGGGTGATACCTCCCTCATGGGCATGGGCTCCAGGTGGTGGCTGCTGGGCTGAGTCTCACCTGAACTCTCTGGGGGCCGGTGGAGCCCCGTGTTCTGGCTGGTTTGTGGCTGGGTTCATGCTCAGTTTCAAGGCGGGTGTCCAAGCAGAGGCGTTGGCAAGGTCACCTCTTATGGCCTACACCTCCTCTGGCTCCAGTGTCCTTTGCCCCCTCTGCTGCCCCCAGTCAGGGAGAACATGTGCTTATGAGGGTCTCACCAGGTGAGGCAGGTTTACCTGAGTGAACTGGAACGTCTCGCCTCCCAGCTCCCTGCCGAATCCTGCCTGGATTTGCTGTGAGGTTGAGCAGCAGGAGTGGGATTCTTCTGGGAGGGACATCTTTGGATTTCTTCGTACCACATCCAGGTGTTGGAGCATGGTGCTGCTGTGCAAAGGAACGAGGCAGACGTCCAGGGCGGCATAGTGGTCTCCAACACCGTCCTCCCGAGAAAGGCAGGGAGCGGAACAGGACTCCCAGCCTGCCACGCAGTGCCTAGGAGTGATCGGAAACAGGCATGATGTGTGTGTGCATTTACTAATCAAGAAGGACTGGAGAATTAAATAAAAAATTAGAAAAATAGCAGTGGAAGAAGGTAGAAGAGAATGAGGTGCAGGGCAGGGGTGGGCTGTACTTCTCTAATGTACCTGTTTTAGGGCCCTCACTTTATCATGATGTAAATATTTTACATAAGTAAAAAATAAAAATGCAGTCTCTCATTGAAGGTACTCTATGTGTCAAGTTTGTGGAATAGCTTTCCAGAGGAAAAAAAGTTTAAATTGCTCAGAAATCACAATATCAGGGCAGTATATTTCTTTTGGGATTATTTTGGGCACCAAAAACTCAATGAAGAAACCTAAAACTGAACCCAATTTTCTTGTCAGTGTTAATATTTGTATTTCTTCTTGAAATTATTACCTATGTGGTAAGAGAAAACTAATAATTATGCCAATTTCATTCATAGCCAAGATTTTCCAGCATAAAGAAACCATTAATTGGGCCGGGGATTTAGCTCCGCGGTTTCACTGCCTACTGCGCAAGCGCAAGGACCCGCGTTTGATCCCTGGTACCAAAAAAAAAACAAAAACAAAAACTAAAAAGAAATCATTAATTATAAAATATAAACTAAAATCCTGTCCTCTTCTAGTTTGAATCAGAAGTATTAGGATGAACTCATTTCTTTTTCCATCTTTTAAAAGAGGTCGTGCATCTCCTAGTCTCACCTGTCTGTGCCGGTCAGCTGGGGCTGCCCTGGCGGAAGACTGCAGATGGGCGGTGTGAAGGCTGTGGATCCACTGCCCCACGGTTCTGAAGGCTCCAAGCCCAAGGGCAGGGCCCGCAGGTTTGGCTTCCTCTGGACTGGGGAGCATGGTCCTCGCCACATGGCTTCCTGTGTGTCCCGCTCTGGGCTCTTTCTCCTGTACCCAGCGTCACCAGGCCCTGGGCCAGTGCCACCTCAGGGGCTGGTTCCCTGCCGATGACCTCCTCTGAGACCCCTTCTTCAAAGGGCTGCCTTGTGGATCTTATTACTGCAGTGCTGGGTTTGCATTTCAGTTCTTGAAAGATACTGGTCTGTAGTTTCCTTGCTTGCTCACTCTTTTTCTTCTTCCTTTCTTTTGTTTTAGTATCATTGTAATGCTAGCCTCATAAAATGGATCAGGATGTACACCCTCCTCTTCTGTTTTCTAGAAAAGAAGGTATACATTTATTTCCATGTTTGATAGATTTCTCCAGCGAATTCATTTGAGCCTGGAGATTTATTTTGGGGAGGTTGAGAATTATGTGTTCAATTTCTTCAGTGGTTGCAAGGCCATTCAGATTTTTAAATTTTATTTGGTTGCGCATTGGTAGTTTTTGATTCTCAAAGAATCAGTCCTTTATTTCTAAACACTTAGTTTGTGAGCATAATGTTTTTTCTAGTATTCTCTTACATTTTTAGCTACTGAATAATTCATAGTGTTGTCTCTTTCTATTCCTGATTATTGGTGTTTTAAACTTCTCATTTTTGGCAGTCTTGGTATAGATTTACCACTTGTCATGGTTTATTTTGAATAGCTAGCTTTTTGTTTTATTTTCTCCATTGTCTCCATTCTAATTTTTATGCTTTTTTCTTTCTGCTTGATTTGTTTTGCTCTTCTTTTCCGAGTTTCTCTAAGTAGAAACTGAGATTATTTACTTTGAGA